TCCCTTCCCTTCCCTTCCCTTCCCTTCCCTTCCCCCACATATCCCAGCTATTGTATTTTATTTCCACTCTCCTCTTCCAAACCTGACCTGGATGGCGCAGATCTTGGAAGCTAAGATCTTGGAAGCTAAGCAGGGTTGGCCCTGGGTTAGTTCTTGGATGGGAGACTACCAAGGAAATCCTGAGTTGCTACAGAGAGGTAGGCAATGGCCAACCCAATCCCAAAATATTAGAACTCAAGGGCATCCAATGAAGCTGAGGGGCAGTAGGTTTAGGACAGATAAAAGGAAACACTACTTTATGCAGAGATCTGACAAGATCAGGCTATACCATTTGCTGTTTGCTCCTCCTTATGTTTGTAAAGTGCTGTCAACTTCACAGTTGACTTACGGCAACCCCAGCAAGGGGCTTTCATGGCAAGGGAGAAGCAGAGGTGGTTTGTCACTGCCTTCCTCTGCAGAGCCTTCCTTGGTGGTCTGCCTTCCAAGTGCTGACCCTGCATAGCTTACGAGATCTGAGAAGGTGGGGCTATACCACGCTGCCTTCACTTCCATCCAGAAGTTAAAAGGTCAAGGTTCCCCTTGCTCGAAAGCCAGTCGAGTCCGACTCTAGGGTTGCGGTGCTCATCTCCGTTTCAAAGCTGAAGAGCCAGCGCTGTCCGAAGACGTTTCCGTGGTCATGTGGCCGGCATGACTCAACACCAAGGCGCATGGAACGCTGTGACCTTCCCACCGAAGTGGTACCTATTTATCCACTTGCAATTTCTTGCTTTTGAACTGCTAGGTTGGCAGGAGCTGGGACTAGAGACGGGAGCTCACTCCGTCATGCGGCACACTCGGGTCTCGAACTGCTGAACGACCGACCTTCCACAGCCTGCAGTTCAGCATCTTAGCCACTTGAGCCACCGCAGCTCCAGAAGTTAGAGCCCATTAAATTTAGGCATTTAGGAATGAAGTGGGTTTAGGATTGGAGCCTTGAGTAAACCAAGAACTAGGGGAAGAAGAAGAGGTCCGTGACTGAGGTTCACGAACCTCTTCTTTGGTAAGTTGCGATTTAATGATTACTACCAGGGGTCTTGTTGTAGAAAAAGAGCTGCCGGAGCTCATTAGCATAACTCATTAGCATAACTTATTTGCATATGCCACGCCCCCTGACAATTTAATGATTACTACAATCGTTGATATTTAAGATCCCCAGTTGAGTCTAACTCATGGCTGGTCCATGAGAGAGTTGTATAGCTGTGTGCCTGTCTTTGAGGAACATGAGAGGAGAAAGGCTGGATGATGGAGGGAGCCCATGAAGCTGCCTTATGCTGATACAGGTCATTGGTCCATTAAGGTCGGTATTGTCTGCTCCAGGGGTGGCCAAAGGGTGGCTCGGGAGCCACATGTGGCTCTTTTCACACATATTGACTGGCCCGAGGCTACCCACCGAGCTTCCAGGGCAGAATGGGGATTCGAACCTGGGTCTTCTAGATTCTAGTCCAGCCGGATTCGAATACGGCAGCACTTTGGAGACCGACAAGATTTGGGGGCAGGTGCTTTTGAGAGCCAAGGATCCCTTCGTAGCTGATGAAAGGAACTTTTGACTCTTGAAAACTCAGACCGTCCGAAACGTTGCTGGCCTCTCAGGGGCTCCTGGGCTACAATCGAGCTGTTCCATGTTGCTCTGAGACCCAGTTTGGTGTATTGGTTAGGAGCGCGGACTCTAATCTAGGAGAACCGGGTTTGATTCCCCACTCCTCCACTTGCAGCTGCTGGATGACCTTGGGCAAGTCATAGTTCTGTCAGAGCTGTTCTTGAAAAAGAGCCGTTCCTGTCAAGAGCTTTCTCAGCCCCACCTACCTCCCAGGGTGTCTGTTGTGGGGAGGGGAGGGGAAGGAGTTTGTAAGCCGCTCTGAGATACCTTTGGGTAGTGAAGGGCGGGGTATAAATCCAGTCTCTTCTTCTTCTCCTCCTCTCAGAGCTCTCTCAGCCCCACCTACAGGGTGTCTGTTGTGGGGAGGGGAAGGGAAAGGACTTTGTGAGCCACTCTGAGACTACTTTGGGTAGTGAAGGGTGGGGTATAAATCCAATCTCTTCTTCTTCTTCTCTCAGAGCTCTCTCAGCCCCACCGACCTCACAGGGTGTCTGTTGTGGGGAGCTCCTCCTCCTCCTCTTCCTCCTCCTCCACCTCCTCCACCCCCTCCTCCTCTTCTTCTTCTCCCCCCCCCCCGGAGCTCTTGGACAGTTTTAACGAGGTCATCAACAGAAGGTTTTTGTCCCAGCCATCTTTGTTGTGTTGTGTCGTGGCTTGAGAGTCTGGGTAGGTTTGGGGAGACTCTCCCGTGAAGCTCACTACTTGAGCTTGGGCCGGTTGCTCTCTCTCAGCTTAACTTACGACATGGGGTTGTAAGGGAGGATAACACGGAGGAGGGGCAAACCACGTAGGCCACTCGGAGTTTCTCAGCAGAAAGGTGAGATGCAGTGTGATGGATCGATGGGTGCCTGCTTGGGTCAGGCCATTTTTCAGTGGTGGCACCTCCTCTCTGGTGCACTCTCCACCCTGTTGGTCAGCAAGGACCAATGGAGAGGGGGCGTGGCTCAGTGGTAGAGCTTCCGCTTGGCATACAGAAGGTCCCAGGTTCAATCCCCACTGTCCCTAGTTAAAGGGATCAGGTAGTAGGGGATGTAAAAGCCCTCGACAGTGGCTGCCAGTCTAATGGTCTGGTTCACCGTGTGGCAGCATCACGTGTATTCAGGGGACAATGTCCTTGCCCAGCTTTTTGGTTTGCTCTATTCCATCCCGCCTGCTTTTGTTTGTACAAAAGTTGCTAGTTGAAATGCTGAACTGGTGAGTCATTATGAGGTTTCACATTACCGCCCCCCCCCCCGACTTTGGATTTAGGATTTATTTATTTATTTTTTAGATTTATATCCCGCCCTCCCCAAAGGCTCAGGGCGGCTAACAACGAGGCACGAGTGCCAAAGTTAAGACAGATAAAAACAGCATAAAACAGAATAAAACAATATAATACAAACACCAATGCTGGACAGAGATTTACTGCTGTGCCTGGAAGTTGTCCTTGGATTAAGCATTGATGATGACCTCTCTCTCCCGCCCCCCTCCTTTCAGGGTCACCTCGCACCCTGATGGAACCACACAGTGGTGATAGTGGTGCGATGATGCATAGATAGCGATGGTGGAATAGTGGTGGCGGCGGCTCCTATTCAAAAGCCTGGCGGAAGAGCTCCGTCTTACAGGCCCGGCAGAACTGAGAAAGGTCCCGCAGGGCCCGGATCTCCTCCGGGAGCTCCTTCCACCAGGTAGGAGCCGCCACTGAAAATGCCCTGGCTCTGGTAACAGCAAATTTAATATCCCCGGGGCCTGGAATTTCCAGGAGATGTTGGCTCCCCGACCAAAGTGCCCTTGGGGGAACATATGGGGAAAGGCGGTCCCTTAGGTAAGTTAGTTATGCTAACAAAACCCAGGTCTCTCTACCCATTATAGGTGTTAATTAGTCTAGCATAGTGAATGGTCTCTGTATTTATTTTACTTGAATTTCACATGATTATACTTTGCCCTGTACTAATTGAATTCCATGCCCACTTGATCCTATGGTCCCCCCTCCCCCTTATCCTCCTACATAAAACATCCGCATAGTAAGGGCCTACTCATCGCATCTGAAGAAGTGGGTTCTAATCCTTTAAAAGCTCGGACCGCAATAAAATTTTGTTAGCTAGTGTCAGCTACGCTGCCATTGTAAAGGTGGGGAAGGCAGGAGGCCACTGGGTGAACATCTTAATGTGTTGGACTTGGATGGGCCCTTGGCCTGATCCAGCATGAAGTCTCTCAGGTTCTTAATCTGTGTGTGACGGGAAGGTCTTCCAGTGGTTTCCATCCAGCTAAATATCCTCTGTTGGGGACCAAACAATTGGGATGGCCGTCACCCAGGGGACACACCTCCTTCCTCTCTCAGCCTCCTTCCTCTCCCAGTCATTTCCGTTCTTCTTCCTTATGTATGCTTAAGAGACCTTTAGCTGTGCCTCCTCAGTCAGACGCTAAATGCCTTCCGGCATATCCAGGGTGCAACAGATTTCTCTTTCAAATAGTTTTCTGCTTGCACTTCCAAAGCCCTCCTTCCCCAGGACCCTGCCCAAGACTGGAGGCTTCCTTTTTTCTTTAGGGTGCCGACCTCTGAAAAGGGGCACTCATAGCACGGTAGTGTCTGTCCTGGAGCCCCCGTGCCCTTCGATGCCCTTTCAAGCTCGCTTGCACCCCGCTCCGAAAGCATTTTCCCCTGGCCAAGGGCCGTCTCTTCATTCTGTTTTGGTCTCTCCTCTCCAGGACGGCATCCGGGATATCTTCATTGACGGCGTTGTTGCTCGCAACAGAGCTCTGAATGGGGACATTGTGGCGGTGAAGCTGCTTCCGAAGGACCAGTGGAAGGTCAGCGCTTTGATCTGTTTTGGGTAGTGGTGGTGGTGGGGGGGAGGGCTAACGGGACCTGGGCCGGAAGGAGCATCTTTTAACATTTCCCATCAAAGGTCGTAGTAGGTCGCCGTTCCCGGGAAGTAAGTTCCCAGGAAGTACCTTGTGAAAAGTCTGGTAGAGAGGCCTGCTGTTCAGGACTGGATCCCAGTGGTCAGTGGATCATTACCTTTGATGGAGGTGACACACATCCCAACCGATGAGATCTCTGATACCAGAATAATTTGAAGAATTGGCATGGCTATATTTATGGCCCAACATAAAAGCTAAAAACATATAACCAAACAACATCTGGGGTGTGTGTGTGTGTGTGTGTGTGTGTGTGTGTGTGTGTGTATCTCCCTTATAATAAAGCTGTAAGACGCAAACTCACACCAACAGTGTTTGGACGGCTCAGCTGGCCGTCACCGGCTCGCCCACCTCCCATTCGCCACGCCGTCTGGATCCCACCCCAGACGCAGCGTCACGTTCCCGGGGGCTGGAGGCGACCGGCCTAAGAGCGGCGCCTGCGGAGGATGGTCCCGGGGGCTGGAGGTGACGGGCGCCTGCA